TTCCAATATTGAACAACCTGATTTTACGAATGGGCAACGGTAAATGACTGGGAAACATTCACATATAGCCACTTAAAAATAATAAATTACTCTCCATAACTATAGCTTGATAATTACAATTTGTAACTACATGTTATATGGAGGAGAGAGGGGAAAAAGAGTGGGAGAAAGGTGAATTGTATATGTATATTGGTTAGATAATTGTATATTATATATATTATTTGTGTATATAGCAAAAGAGATTGGAAGAGGAAGGCAAAGAGGCGAGCGAGAATGGGAGAGGGAGAAGAGAGGCGAGCGAGATTGAGAAAGGGAGGAGAGAGGCGAGCGAGAGAGGTCAAAGAGTGGAAGAGAAGTAAATTGTATATATATAGGTTAAAAATTGTATTACATATCTATTTGTATATGGTAGCGAATTATACATATACACACACAACTAATTATACAAACTCAAAGTCAGCTCATATAATTAATGTATAATGTTAGTCGAAAGTAGTAATTATAGTAAACTATAGCTATGATAAATAATTAAATAGTATAAACAATGAAACTTTCGAAGCAATATAACAGCTCATCTGAAATTGGTATTATATTTATCAATTGAATATTATCAAAACATCAAATTAACACATAATTGTACAGTAAATGTGAAAGGCGAGGATGTACCACAGTAACAAACCCAAAGGCAGAGTATTTCAGTCAAGAAGTAAAATACGGAGGCAAGTGGTCGTTGATTTCAGTGACAAGAAGTGAAGCAGTGCAGATATACTATTGTAAACGGAGACTTGAGGATTGATCTATAGCTTAGGAAGAGAAAGCCAAACAAACAAATGGAATCCCTACGCTTGAGCTGGCAATTCCAAACAACCCAATCCATAGAACACGAGGATGGGGAATGTGTAACAACTAGTCATATTATATGATTTTTGCTCAACAATAAACTGATGCACCACAATCATTTTAAACTAAAAGTTGGTTTCAAAGTAGATAAAAATAAAGTATTCTCAACAAGACGGGAGCAAACATAAGCAACTGCATACTAGAGTCTGCAAAACTTGTACTGCCACGATACAAATAACAACCATTCTGAGATAAATAATAGAAATCAACTTAAGCCTTGTAACCCCTGCTCTTCCTCTTTCCTCTAGCTCTCTCAAACTTTCTTCCCTTGGCACGCACATATGGTTTGGTATGGCTGTGTGGAACACCTGGAGCTGGACCAAAGTGCTTCACTGCTTCACGTGCATTCTTTGGACCTCTGAGGAGAAGCTGCAAAATCAATCAACAACATCAGCATTCAAACAAGCTGGGACTTAAATAAATACAAATGAACGCAGTAAAGATGTTCTTATAGACTCTATAAAAAAAGATAGATAGCATATTTGCCAGTATTTAAAAAATAATACTATCACAGAACAAATTAAACCTAATTCCTAAATAATAGTACTTTTTCTTGTTACGTTGGGCTTTATGTGCTTTCTGTTCCATCCAATATCTGGTTTGGTTGAGAGGGTATCTTAGTCCTCTTAAAACTTGCTGCCATCCAGAAGACTCAAAAAATATACATTACAGGACAATTATTTGGAAGAAAAGAAGTGTAATCCTGATACATTGAAGCACATATCCATCGATTCAATTAGGAAAAGGCTTAAGCAGATAGGATCTTTTATTGCTATACGCACAGATAAAATCTTTGAAATCATAAAAAGATTTCCAAGAAGAACTATGTGCAATACATGAACAGCTAAGGTCCTCTTAAAATTTGAAGTAATCCAGTGAAAGTAAACGGTTTCATGTTACATTAACTTCCAAATCAAATATCTAGCTAATCAAGGAGTTGCATTTTTCATCTTGAAATATGCAACCATACCAAAAGACACCAAATAATTGGAAAAAATGTAATCCCAATACATTGAAGCACAACTCCATATTTTAGTAGGGAAAAGGCTTAAGCAGACGGGATCTTTTCTGGTTTTCTATACGCACAGAAAAAATCTTTGTAATCATAAGAAAATTACACAGAAGAGTAATGTGCAAAAATGAGTAGCTAAGTCAATCTTAAAATTTTCAGACTTGTATTAGCTTACAGTGCTTTTTTTTTAAAAAAAATATTTAGTTGAACAAGAGGATATGTTGTTCTTAAAATCTGCAGTCATTCTGAAAAGAGCCTCAACAATTATACAACATACTAATTTTTTTTTAAAAATGTAATCCCAATACATTGAAGCACAACTCCATATATTCAGTTGGGAAAAGGCTTAAGCAGACAGGATCTTTAAAAGGTTTCTATACGCACAGATAAAATCTTTGAAATCATAAGAAGATTTCCAAGAAGATCGATGTGCAACAAATGATAGCTGGGATCAACCAAAAACATAGGGTTCAATGGGTAAAGCAGATGCCATTAAAAAATAATACTCAAAATACAGATGACATAGCTGAATTGCCAATTAAAACAACCGATGAGAAAGAATGGCAATACAATGTCAAATTGCCAATGGGTTAACACTGAGAGGGTAAATGTTTTACTAGACTAGACCACCATACTGAATTATACAAACTATTTCACAGGCATAGTATCATTAATCCATACAATGAAAGACACAACTGTTGGTCACCTATATCATAACATAAAAGCCACTCAGATGTGTAGAGAGAATCAAGATATCAAATGTTTTTTGTTCAGTTAATCCACGAAAAATCAAGTACGAAACATAAATAGTAATATCAAAAAGCTGAGAAAATACTTCCCAACTTAACAAAACACAATAAAAGTGCAAATATATTACAGATCGCACATAGCTACAAATCACACAAAGCTAACAAAGACGCATAAATCAAAATAATGCAAGTAGCAAAAAGCTATTATAAAGATCTAATTCAATACCGTGTTCTGTCCAAGTGGAGCCCTGAGAGCCAACTGATCGAATGTCAAGCATTCGCCCCCAGCCTTCTCAATCCTTGCCCTGGCTGTCTTTGTGAACTTCAAAGCACACACCTTCAATTTTGGAACTTCATAAGCCCTAACATCGTCGGTAACAGTTCCCACAAGGACAACAGTCTTATCGCCCTGATAAACATGTATCAAAACCATCACTTTAACCACAAACACAATATATCTAAATCAACAAAACAAAACACGAAAAAAGCCCTAAACAATATACCTTTCCTTCAGCATAAGAAATCAACCTCGAGAGAGAAAGTGGAGGCTTGTTAATCTTGCTCATGAAGAGCCTCTTAAGTATCACCGCATTGAACTTGCTTCCGGTCCTCCTTGCCAAGAATCGGTAAAGCTGTTAACGCACATCAAACAACAAAGTTAAAGCCATCAAACAAGTTGAAAATTACATATAAAAAACAAAGAGAATCTAAATATACCTTGACGAGGAGCTTGAGGTAAACATCGTCAGACTTAGGGGCGGTACGCTTAGTCTTCTTACTCTTACCTCCGGCCTTCAGATCGATACCCATGGCTGGCTGGACTCTGCTGAGAGAGATGGAGAAATGGCTGCAGGAGGCGCCTCTTATATTAATATATCAAGTGAAATGAGGAGGCTAGGGTTTTTAGAGAGGTTTGTGTTGCCCTTGTGTTTTGTGTGGTTGAGGTCTACCATAAACTCCTATGCACCTTACTTAGATGTTTGACACGTCTTCATTTACTATGATGCATCTTTTGTTCTTCTCTACGAGTTAGGGTTTTGATTTATAGCCCTCATTTTAACATTTAACCCCTTTTAATAACCTTTATCCATTTAATTATTACACTCATATTAATAAACATCCAACTTAGATTTGGTGGAGAAAATTAGTAATGCACAAACATAATTTTCACATATAACAAGTATAAAAATCATATTTACGTGCTAGAGTTATAATTTATATAATTGCGTTTCATAGCAAATATAAATATATACATTTCGCTATATATACAAAGAAAGCAAATATATAATTCGTTATACATATACGAAAGATCAATTGCATAAAGCGAGAAAGAGAGAAAGACAAAAAAGAACTTGGTTGTAGAAGATTATATTTGTATAATCATAAGTGTATAAGGCTAAATATATGCATTTATATTTGTATATACAAATTTCTCTCGCTTTATAGAAACACAAACACAATGTATACATTTCTCTTTGTATAAAGAGTGAGAGTGACGAGCGATATCTGGAAGAGGAGAGAGAGTGAAATGAAAATATATGAATATATACAATTTTCTCTCATTTTATACATTATTTGCGTTTGTATAGCAAAAGAGTGTCAAAAGGAGTGTGACGAGCGAGATTCCAAATTCAAAAATAACAATCGTTAGTTATAGGGTAAATTAAATCAAACTATATTTACAACATTAAATTTGAATTAATAGTTTGTTATTGTATATAATTTTTTCATTAATTATTGACACGTCTTGATACAAAAAGAGTGATAATTTAGATAACTTAAAAAAATAGTGGATCAAATTGAGTAATGAGCCAGGGCAAAGTTAGAAAGGGCGGTAGGGTTCCTTCATTAGAAAGTACACCATATGTATATTAAAATTACTATTTTTATGTATATTAAAATTACTTTTTTTTATGTATATTAAAATTACTTTTTTTAGGTGTATAATATAGTAGAACTATAATTTATACCATAATGTTTTATGTTTTCCTACTTTTCCAATGTTTGATTTGGAAGATAAGTTGACAATGAGCAATGTGTAGTATTTTATTTATTATTTTCCAACATTTTTATTTGTCAGTTCTTAATATACAAAAAATGAAGGTGATGAAGCATTTTAATTATTTTCTCTTCCTATTTTCCTTGGTCATACTGAGAATTTTGAAGGAACACTTAATTCTTCCAATAATAATCACTTTAGTTTTATAAATTTTCTGATCTCCTCCAGTTTCCAAGTTCATAATAACCACATGATCAGAGCTTGCTATTCTTGTAAAAAAAGAAAAGTTAATTAACACCCCTTTGACAAACATTTACTGTGTAACTAGATTACACGTTTCTATGTTAAATTTCATTGGCCTTTTTTTGTATATTTAACTTTTGATTATCTTGATTGTCCAAAGTTAAGATTCAGACACAAACACCACTCATGTTCCTTTGATCGAGCGGATTAAGAAAATTTGTAGTTCCAAAACAATAATCATAAATTGTATAAATCCCCTAAAACTTGGCTCCCCTTCATTAAATTAAGAAACTTTGGTTCAGCTTGCTCATTAACATCTGGAGAAACGAAATAACAGCTGCATAAAAATGAGCAAGTCTTTGCTATTTGCAGCAGGTAAACATTGTCCATCTAGTAAAGATACCATTTAAAGCTCAATCCAGACGCTCCATCTGTGAACAAGAAACGGATAATGAAAAAGCTTTCACATCACTTACAAGTGCAAAGATTAGTCATGTTCAATCAACAAACGAAATGCCCTAGTTATAAAACAGTTCACAGCTCAAATAGGAGTCGTGACAGGATAGTGAGTAGTACCTTCCAGAGCCCATCATTAAGATAATGCATGTTATCCACACCAATTCCTTTGTTGATTGCCTTTCTGCAAAGGTGGACATGATTTTTCAGGTGTTGATACATACATCTCAAACATGGGAAACATAAATAACAGAAGTCGAAAAACTTGTTTTCCCCATAACATGAAGTGTCTTCTCCATACATACATAGGGTTGGAGATGTAACATAATCAAGAAAATCTATATTCACTAACTTCTTTTCTCACATCTGAGAAAAAGAAAACAATCAGAGAAGTTGAAAGAAAGCAAGATCTCATCAGTGCCGAACATGTAATATAATACTTCTGAGAAGTCTGTCTGACAAGAAAAGGACAATCCAATATGCAGTCCACAGTAAATATACCAAAACCAAAATGACAGTTTGTAAGAGAAAAAATGATGATCAGCTTCAAAGGCCATTTATAATCTTTACATAAATAAATATATTGAAAAATCAAAGGCCACTAATCTTCAGAAAAAGTATAAAATACTTCTTGATGTTTAGTTCTCTGCGTCAGCTCTCTAAGGTACGGGGAAATCTACCATCTCCCTTGTATTGATGGAAACCCACTGCTCAACCGTAACTATTACCTTGATCCCATTGTTAATCGAGATATATGTTACAATATGGATCCTTCCACCAACTCTAAGCTGATATTTTCCACTAATTATATCCAAAGAAAACTCAAAATATATTTCTTCCATCCCCCTTTGATCTTAGCCATCACGACAGTCATCTTCCCTACCCAGAACTTGCCAGGATATCCATCTCTTGAAGCAGATGGAATGCTATTTACAGCATCCATCCTTACTTTCATACTATTTGTGTCTCTCACCTCATACAAAATTTATGCGCATACAAGAAAACATTCAGAGACAAATACACTATATTGATGCCCAACAGAAATACTCACAATATTGAAAAAGTTGACTACTACATAACCTCAGGATTTCCAACTGAAAATTCAATGACAAAAAAAGTGGCATTTCTGCCATTTTCAACAACTCACTCACTATACAGAAACTTACTAAATTATTCAAGGTCAAGGAAAGTTGAAATAGATACATTTAATTTTAGAAGGTGTCCTCAGCAGATTACCTTGACACAAAGAGGTACATGTTAAGTTCAAATAGATACATCTTGCTCAGGACAATTGAGGCAATAAATTGTTATGGAGAATTCACATTTAGGGGCATTAAACAAATTAGATAAAGGAAGGGCAGAACATATTTAACCTAAAAGGTAAACATCTCAGTTCTATCACATGGGACCAGAGGGGCATGTTTTAGCATACAAACGAAACAGAAGCCGAGCAAATATTTACATAGCAACTCACATATCCTTTGCCGACATCTTTGTAAAGCCAATAGCTAGAGCATGTTGCTTCCCTTCAGCCATAATAGCCTAAAAACAAAATGCCGCACATTAAAATTACACAACAAAGTTGTAGCAACGACAAAAATATTATAGCATAAGATTGCCCTTATTCATACCACGGGAGTTTCTGCCCCCACTTCAACATCCAAAGCACCCCCAGGAGAAGTAAGACCTGGACACATTATGTTGGCTCCAGAGAGGACAAATTTAATTGCGCCCCTGTCAACTTGTAGTTTTTTCATTATATTTGGATCTGTACAATTGGAAAGAAGAAGGTTATACAGAGCATTGATGTCACAGAGTAAATCAAATCATCAACAGATTAAAAAAATAAAGTTCATCAATGGCATATATTGAAAAGTACCAAATCACAACCATTTGCGTGCTCATACATATATATATGACGATAAGTCAATCAGAAACCTGCTCGCTCCACCTCAAAAATGAATATTTTTTCACTTGATTAAAAGTTAAAACAATATTGTATGATTTCTTTAAGGCACAATACATAAATGTGCCCCTTAACTTGTCCTCATTTCACATTTATGCCCTTCAACTTTGGGTATGCACAAGTAGGCACTTAAACTTATATAAACTTGAACACGTAGACATATGAGTCATATGTGGCACAACACACGTAGGACAAAAAATGTCATGTAGGATGTCATGTAGGACGTCATGTAGGACATGTGTGTCTATTTGTTCAACTTGATACAAGTTTAAATGTCTACTTGTGCACACCCAAAAGTTCAAGGGCATAAATGTGATTTGAAGCCAAGTTAAAGGGCATATTTATATATTACGCGTTTCTTTGATGTGTGTACTTACTAGGACCAAGACCCAATTAATTGAATGAACGAACCGCCATTGAGTTTTGGAGTACCCACATCCTCTCCAAACTCAACCTCGAAGATGCACCACTAGTATTATGCCCAACCCCCTCTCAAGAAATCAATGACCTCAACATGGTAACTTATTTTCCTAGCTTCAATTTTAAACCAGATTGCCTGTCAGTCTATAGAAGTAAACAAATGCTTGATTACTTGACGGTGACAGCTAATTTTATTGAATTAAGCAGGTGTGTCTTCTTTAATTTAGTATTCAGTCAACTAATTAATGTTATGGGGAACTGGTATAGTACACACGCTTTAAATAGTACTACTAGTTATGCTGTTATGAATATCAAAGGAAAAGAAAAAATAAGGCGTTAAGATATCAAGAGCCTTCTAATCAATTTCCTGATGTGAACCATATATCCTTTTAATTATTGCTTGGTTATTTATTTTCATATGCTAATCAGCAGCATTCAGCTGGCGTGAATTATTTGTTGCATCAGCCATAGCCATTCCATATTTAAGCATGATCTATATCATCATGTTTGGTTCATGTTCAATTAGAATCTCCAAAAAATCCATAGATGAGAAGTCCACTATCTTTCTTTACATTCTTCAGATTTCTTATGAAGCTATCGTTTTTACTCACAGCCCATAAGGGCCAAAATGGCTGCATATTGAGGGAAATACATACTGCGAACAAAAAATGTCCTAATAGTGACCCACTCTAACCAGCCCAATTTTTTGAAGTGATTTCACTGGTAAAAGATTTATTAAAGTAAAACATCGAAAGGTTGAAAAAGGTATGCCACAACACTCGGAAAGATTAGCAAAAGAAAGGAAGGATGAACTTTGATTTAATGGAAAAGATAAAACAATGGAGGAAAAAAGATAAAAATCAGATAACTTACATTGATGCAGAAGACGTAAAGTAGGCATATAAGGTCCATCACGTATGTTGAAAAACAGGGGTACATTGTTTACCACAACTAAATTCAGATGATTTTGACTGCAGAGAAAAGATGAAAGAAGGAAATATAATGTCACTCAAAGAAAAAAAAAGATAAAAAACTGCATTGAGATAGCTGAAATCAACCATTTTGCAACAATGAGAGGAGACTTCTTTGGAAGCAGATCTTCCAACACTGGCTCTAGTAGTGGGTACTGCAAAACAGAAATTATGTTAGCATTATTAACACATTATAACCGCGTAGAATGAGGGAAATCCTTTAGCTGGAATAGAGAGTGGAAGAAACAAAGTAAGTGGTTTGTTGCATAGTCAGGACCTCTTCTGCAATGCTTTGACGAATTCTACGCTGCACAGATGCCTTGACTTGATTTTGTCCAGACACTTCTTCAGTTGAAAACCTACATTATTAACAAGATTGAGTTGCACAAATTAATATAGCTCAGTTACAAAAACTGCAGTGGGCCACTGCAAACTTGATAAATTTGAGCAAGAGAACTCAAGATATAAGACCAATGACAAACACATTCTCCTTTAGAGAAATATGACTTAATGATATTCAAGGTTAAGGGCCTACTTATTTTGAATGATTTTACCTGATTAAATCAATTACATAATATTTGTCAATTGATTGGTTGCAATACCAAATGAAAGTATATGTTCATTCTGGATAATTAAATGTGGTTTATGTCAATCAAGTAACTGGACTGCTGAAAGCTTCCACAAGTAAGTCTGAGGGGCCAAAGGCAGTTCTTTGCCCCTGAACATGTAGGTTATGGGATCAACTACCACGGGGATGAAATGCATACTACCAAAGACATAGGCTAACAAGACAATCAATCATACAACAACTGATCAAGTAGGCCTCAATCAAAAATAGGTCGGCTGTATGAATCTTCCATATCCATTCCACTCTATTTAAGCATGTAACATATCACATTGCAACATTAGATAATTTATGTTTAAGGAAACTCAGAGATTCTTCACAACTAGAAATCTAGTTTTAATCTCACATATTTCTCGACATGGATGTGCAAGTTTTTAAACCAGAGTAAAGAGTCTCTCGCAAACATCGGACATAATGTAAAAACAACAACTGTGGCTTGGGTCATAACTGGTAGCTATTGTTTATATAGGTCATCTTCTTCATTATGTTATATTCTTGGCTAAATCATAATGAATAATGAATTCTAAGAGATGAAAGCTTCTTTAAGATGAATTCTCCGAATAATTAGGTCGATTGATCTTATTTCTAGTTGACACTTCCTTCAATCACCATAGGGTCATACCTACGACCTGTCCATATGGTGGTCTACACAAAACATGATCAAATCACCAGGTGACAATTTCATTTTGTCAATGTATATCATGCATAACTTGCGACTTTTAACTTGTCAATCGACTAGTGAAGGGAATCAAAGCATAGGTGAGTAGGAAGGATGAAAGAGCAAGCTAACTGAGTAACTCGAGGAGACGCCCACTTTGTACATTGCTGACTCAGAAAAAGAACACCCATCATAAACCAGCTATGAATTGCATTCATCAACAAAAATTTCTAAAGTTTAGCATGTCACAAGATGGCAGCACATTTAAATCAAACAAGTGAATGGTTCAATTCTTTCGCCCACCTCTATAGATAAGAATCTGCTTAAGTACACATCTATCCATTGCTCGATTCCCTTTGCAAGAAATACCTATGCCAACACTACTTGACTAACATCAATGTTTTTATTATACTTTTAACATACATAACCTAGAGCCTGCTTACAGCAAACATACTTAAATCTTAATCACTCCAACAAGGTAAAAAGGGTATATAAGTTCAGAATAAATCACCCATTGCTCAATTCCCTAATCGGATGAAAATTAGGGGATTGGGAAGTCAATTAGTGGATAGAATAGGATAAAATTTCTCAATTCAAACAGCCAAATTAAACAACTTTTTTTCCCAAAACTAACGAAATTTAGTACAAGAACAAAAATCAATTTCTCCATTGCGATCGAAAAGACAAACCTAATTACAAAATCAGTTGCAGATAATAGTATAGAAAAAACAAAACACTAATCAGGCTTCGAAGGTACTATCAATGTAAGAGAATAAAATATGGCGAATTGAACCTTAAATTAAGAAAGAGAGTAGAAAAAAGGGCAAATGCACTTTACTTCTTGAACATTTTCACGGGCTGACGATGAGCGAGAGAGAGAGGGGGGGTTAGGGTTTAAGCGATGAATTAACAAATTTGGAAATTGAGTTTTCAATTTTATTGACAGCTCCCGTCCCTGTGTACCGCGTTGTAAGAAAGCTAACGTATCTCAGATTCTGAGTTCTCCGACTCTTTAATCATTTTTTGCCCAAATACCCCTTTAAACTTGATAAAGTTTATCAGTTTAGATACCTTAACTTTTTCAAGAATCATTTAGACATCTATACTTAACAAAGTTTAGCCTTGTCTAGTCCATACCTTTTGATTTTTAAAAATGTGTAAAATTGTTCTTTGTGAATCATTCCAATTACCAAACATCAGATAAAAATGTTTATTATATATGTTTGACTTTGGGTTCGAAATGAATAAATTTGTCAAAAGAAAATACCAAGTATAAATTAAATACTATTTTCATGTCCTAGTAGATGCATATTTATTAAGAAATCGTTGATAGATTCATCAATTTTATTATTTAGCAATTTATTCATTTTAATTAATTAACCTCTTAAAAAAATCTTAGATCTTCAATATTTATTTAAAAATTTAAAAGTCATATTTAAAAGTGCTGTGGTTGTTTAAATTTTTTGAAAATCAGGTGCCAAATGTGGTTGGATTAGTGTCAGAGTCAGCACAGCTAATTATTTACATAATATATAAGAAATAACCTTCACAAGTGTTGAACACATCAGTAGAAATGGTTGAGGATGGGTGCAGCAATAATACGAAGAATAGAAGCACAACATTATCAAAGTGTTCTAGTTTTAAGCAAATAATGGAAAATCTCTTATTCAATGAGCAATCTGGATCACACTCTGCTTTTTTTGGTTCCATAAGGATGATAAAACTTAATTAATTTAATCTTTTAATTTATTTAATAGTAATGAATGTTCAAATAGGTGATTTGGATAACGACTCACAATGGAATTCAATCATTCAAAAATTGGCTTCGTGTTTGGTCCATCAAAGAGAACGAAGAGGTTGTTTGGTTTGGCGTAATAATTGGTCAAATCTACTTTTAAATCAGTTTTTTTACATGTAAAAGTGTTTAATAATTATAATAAAATAATTTAAAATAAATTAAAAAAGTGTTTTGACAGAAAAAAAAATGATTTCACATAAATTTAAAATGATTTAAAATAAGTGAAAACCAAAAGTAGATATCTCCTGCTTTTAAATTTTTTGGTGTAAAAATCATTTTCACTTTTTAATTTTTATTTAAAAACTATTTTTTTTTTAGCCATTACCAAACGGGCAAGGAAAAGAGAAGGACTTGTTTTCAAAACAAATGGGCCTGTTTTCTTGGGTTTTATTGGCCCAAAGTCGGATTAGTGGACTATTTCATAAAATAGAGTATCACCTTTTTGTTTTTACATAAATACTCATCTTATTTTATTGAGCAACTTTCATATATAGCAAATACAAAAATTATATTTTTATGTTATAGCTATACTTTGCATAATTGTGCACCATAGAAGACATAGATATGTATATTTCGCTATACATATATAAAAGAAAGCAATTGTATATAATGTTTCTATTTCGGTATACATATACAAAGATCAATTGTATAATTTTGTGTTTGTATAAAGAGAGATAGAAAAAGAGAAAAAAGAGAACTCGGCATGGGAATATTTGCATTGTAAAATTATAAGTGTGTGACGAAGATATATGTATTTGCATGTGTATATACAATTTTCTCTCACTTTATATAAAGATAAACACAATTTATACATCTATGTTGTATAAGCGAGAGAGGCGAGAGACAGATTGGTGAACGAGATCTGGGAGAGGGGAACTATATATATATGATTTTTTCTCGCTTTATACAAACACCAACATATTTTATACATTTGCATTTGTATAAAAGCGAGAGAGGCGAGGGAGAGAACGAGAGTGACAAGTGAGATTCACCAAAAAAGGCGAAATAGTAACAGCTTGTCATGGAGTACAATTAAATCAAATTATGTTTATTGGATTTAATTTGAATTGATAGTTTGTTATTATATACAATTTTTCCTATTTTATTAAACCATGAAGAGATATCAGACATGATTTTTAGTTGTTACCGAACATAGCAAAATATATATAGCCGTTCGAACATTTGGTAAAAGATTTTGAAACTTCTAAATAAAAATATGATTTAACAAAATAATAATTATTAATTAAATGATCTAAAACTCAATTCATGATGTTCTTATGATGTCCAATATAAATAGTTTGTATAAGACATGATTCATCGTGTAGCAAATATAAATCTTAAGTTGCACAAAAACAAAATAAGTAAATAACAATATCATGATTTTATATGGCATAGACCTAAAGATAAGGTAGTTCAACTTTATTAACTTTAGAGAATGTTTTAAACTACAAACTGCTGTCTTTTGTGATGTTAGGTTACTTTCTGTCTGCCAATTTAGTTATTAGTCAACAATGGAATAATTCAAAACCAACTTAATTTCCTTGTTAGATTAAAACGCCATCAAATTAAACACAAAATCCATAAAACAGTATTAGCAGCACGTGTTCTAGGCAAAGCAATTCGTCTTTTAATCGAATTTTAGTTCTAATTGTAGCTATTTTTAATACCTACTATCAAATACTAGCAATTAGTTTTAAAGCTATTTACATTAAGGGTGCGTTCGGTTAGGAGGAAAATACTTTTTTTTTTTAACTTTGTTTAATAAGTTAGGTCAAAAATTTTGAAAATTATTTTCTATAAAATTTTTTTTAAGAAAATGACTTTCTATAGTGAAAATAGAGAAAATAAGTTTTATTATTCCAACACATTTTTTCTTCACGTCACCCTCCATGATCACCACTTTATATCCTCGCCTCTTATAGTATTTATCTAAATTATATATTAATATTTTTTAAGGGATATACATTTTTGCTAACTTATCGAATATAGAAAAAAATATACAAGAGACTCCTTTATTCGTTGAAATCAAACATATTCCATATAACGGTTATTTTTTGACACACGAAATTTTGGACAAAAATATTGCAACTAAAACAAGGAACTCAAACAAACGATGCTGGAATTCAAAGGATTAATAGGAGGAATGATTCGCGTGGTTAAATTTTTTGTTGGAGTCTGAAAATCAAGGAACAATTATTTGCAAGTTCAAACAAAAAAATAATTTATACGGTTCAAACTTTTACAAAAATTTTCATATCTCAAACAAGAATATTAATCAAATCCGGATTTTATTTCACACAAGTGAGGCTATATTTCCCTCTTACTTTTCAATGGTGCCTAAAGACTCACCCAAAAACTAACCTTTCCACCTGATTATTATTGTTATCACGAGATTATCAAAAACAAATTCAAATGCCCATATTAACATTCCATTAAACTTGTAGATTAGTAGAACGACTATCCATATTACCTATGTAGAAATTGTTACCCAAAAAAAAAAGATCTTGTCCAAAATCTCTTAATTAGAATCATGAAGTAGAATAACAACCATTGTTTTGTTTAAGATAAAAGTTTGGTTACATAATGAAAATAATAATAATAATAATAATCAAGAATTGGTAAGTAAGCAGAGAAGGTGCAACTGGTGGTGCCAACAGGTACATTTATGGGAAAGACTCTAAGTTAGTGGCTGTAACATTCAAACTTTTTTTTCCCCAATCAAAAGTACTTCTATTAAATGACGCAACTTCTTCAATCATGCTTCTCTTCTTCTTCTTCTTTTAATTAAATACTAATTGATTAATTAGCTTTGATTAATTGTTAGGTGAAGCATGGTAATTTACATTGTAAGCTTTTCTCTTATATGATACAAGTAGTGATTTTTCTTAGAGGAAACAATAATCCTCTGCCTTATATTTATTCAAGAAATAAACAACAAAGCTTAATCCAATGAATTATATGTCGCAGAATTGATAAAATTTGATCATGTAAACAGATATACTATCTAATATGCAGTGGCGAGCCGTAAGTTAGGGGTTCTGGTACTTTTGGCAGAAAATTATATTATTTACATATAGTTAAAATAATTCTTTTAGTTATATATAATAAATACAAATTCCTTTTGCTATTACTTATGTCTATTTTTTCAAATTTTCTATTTTTTTATTAAAAATTTTGATTCCGCTATACCAGTTTGAATTGACACTTAAATTAAAGTTTCGAGTCAAAATTTAGTATCTGCCTAACACAAGATGGCAAGCGGGCCAAACCGACTCTAACGCGTATCGTCTCGCACTATTTTTATAATTCAAACCATAGTCTAAAAGTTTGAATTGAGACGATGTTTGTGTGCGGAAATTTCAAAAATAAAATAGACAACAATTTAAAATGGGATATAGATTTTTAAAACAAATCGTTCCATGATATACGTACACCCTTTGATGGACTTCAAACATAACACATGGCTAGCTACGTGTTTACCAAACTATAAGACTATAGATGTACTATATGAGCATGCATTATAAGATAGAGTCGCAATAATTAAATAATCAGTGGTAATTCATACTTGGTCATACTGAGAAACTCTTGGTCATGATTTGGATATGAAAAGGCCTTATATCAACCGTCAACATATTTTTCGAATATAATAAATCTTTTAAGAAAAATCAAATCTGGATGGAATGGACTAATTAAAACCAAGTCAGATTAATTAGTATACCAAATAAAATATCTACAACAAGAAACGTAAAAGAATTTATTGAATGAAACAAATGCATAATTACAACTAATATGTATTACAGTGGAATTCAACATTATATTTAGTCATGATGATTAAGAGGAAAATAATATTTTAAAAAAATTTATGGAAGTTTTGAGAAAAATTTTGTAACTGCAATAATCAGTTTGGACTTTGGAATGATGATTATAGCACAGAATTAAATAACCAGCAAGTTTAGATGGTCCAACCTCCGCTAGAACCTTCTAGTATTACTCTTAACATTGATTATTAAGATATTTTTCATATTAAAAATTAACTTAATTGTTTATTATTTTTAAATATCTTTTATTTGAAATTTTTATGTTAAAAGTCTTAAAAACTCTAATTGCTTTGAATTTTTTTTATGTAATGAATTCAAGACAATTTCAAATTATTTCATATTAAAATTAGTTATTATTATTAAATGTTAAGTCATATTAAAAATTAGTTTGATTTTAAATGTAAAAATGATAAGTAATATCTAATTTATGTTTTAATTTTCTTTTCTAAAAAAACGTAAAACACCTGATAATTCAGTTATCTTAAAACGAAAGAATATAATTATATAGATTCCTCTTATGTTCACATTTATGTGTCATTTATTTTTAAGATTTTTATTTTTACTTGATATAAATATAATATCACACTATCCCTACAAATAAAAATAAAAATATATTTTAGAAATAGAAATAAATGTTTCACCTTAAATTTAAATAATGTATTGACCACTAACGTTATCGGATTATTATTTTAAATATATATAGCAAGAAGTACCTACCAAACAACAAAAGGTAACGTGTCATGTTGTTGTAAGATTGGAGATCGGTCGCTCATTATATATTTGACCTTTTGGTTACTCATCTCATTATTATTTGTTTGTTTACATCTACTACTACTTGTTTCTTTCTCTTTGCTCCTTCAAATCACTCTATTTCTCATCCACTACTTTTTCTTTTTATCTTCACGTAACTCTTACTGCTATAATTGTTACCTTTATACTTTCATCTCTCTTTTTAATTTTCTCTACCTTAATTCTACTTCTTTTATGGCTAACTTTAGCTTCATCCTTGGCATAATTGGTAAGTTTCATATATATATATAATTAAATCTTCAAATACACAATTTAAAAAGTTCAAATTGATCAGTTAATGAGAAATATATTCTAGTTTGTAATTAATATGAAAATTATTGTTTTTATGACTATATATGTTTCTGCAGGGAATGTCATCTCCATACTTATGTTCGCTGCTCCAATGTAAGTCTAATTAATTTATTACGTTTTCTCTAATCGTATGCTAAAGCAGGGCTTAATTAATATGCCAACAATATTTATAGTTGTGTACTAATTTAATTATCATTAATTTTTCTTGGTTATATATTTAGTTAACTACTAATCATAAGGTGCATACATTTTTAAATTATTTTTCTAACTTTCAAAACAATGCTTAATTTGCGCCCTTGCTGTAACCAGCGGAAGTTTATGATATTATATATGATAAATTTTTAAATACAAATATATAAGAATGTCTAAGTTAAAATAAATAGTTTTGAAGACAACTGTCTCGAGACATGTTAAAATTCTATCTTATAACTATATTAGATTATCTAACGAGTAGATAATTTATGATCATGCTCTAACTAAATTAAATTATGATAGTCGATGACTTTTCATACTTTCCACATTTCATTTTTTTGTAGTTGTAACACTTGGTAAATGTATTTTTTCATATATTTTTTTTCCTCAATAATTATAGAAAAACATTCAAAAGGATAATGAAGAAGAAATCAACAGAGGATTTTAAAGGGATACCATATATTACAACACTATTGAGCACATGTTTGTGGACATTTTATGGGTTACTCAAACCTGGAGGTTTACTAGTGGTCACAGTCAATGGTAGTGGGGCCATATTGCACATCATATATGTCACTCTCTTTCTCATTTATGCTCCCGAACCTCTCAAGGTAAAAATAAAATAAAACTGAAGTTCATAATTTTTTTTGTTTTGAAGTTAATAAATTTTAACTAATATTTTTTTTTCAGATTCAATCAATGAAATTGGTGGCTATAATAGATATAGCATTTCTTGGGGCTGTAATAGCAATCACTTTAGTAGCTGTGCACGGAACCACTCGACTCACATTAGTCGGATTTTTATGCGCTGCTTTGAATATTGGCATGTATGCAGCTCCTCTAGCAGCTACGGTAATTCATTTTCCTGCGTAAAAATTGTTTTCGTCGATCGAGTTATTTGATAACTTGAAAATACGAACATGCTAAAGTACATGAGCAATATTAATAAGTTATTTTTATATTTTTTTTTTATTCCGAAGAATCGAAGTTGAAATTGTTAATTGAACATGTACAGAGGACAGTGATAAAGATGAAGAGTGTAGAGTACATGCCATTTTTCCTTTCCTTTTTCCAGTTCCTTAATGGAGGGGTATGGACTGCTTATGCAGTTCTTGTCAAAGATTATTTTATTGGAGTAAGTTTTCCTTTTTCTAATTTTTTTCTTTCTATTTCTGAATTTTCACTTTTTTTTAAAAATATTATTTCCTCCGTTTAAAAAAGAATAATCCGATTTTCTTTTTAGTTTGTTTAGTAAAATGACCCTTTTTCTTTTTTTGTTAACTCTTTAACTTCAATATATTTAAGACAACAACATTACATAATATTTTGATAATTTAAACCACAAAATTAAAAAAGTTTTTTTTAAAAAAAAACGGAGTAGTACCATTTTTGATGAATCGTGAACCACATAAAATGGGAATGGACTAACGTAAGTAAAATAAGTGCTACACATTAATAAGAGAGTACACCTCAACATTTCAGGAAAAGATTATTTTTAGGGTAAAATTGTTTATACATAATTATAGAAAGTTGATAATTAATTTTTTAAGATATTAAAAAAATTGTTCAATAAAAAAAGAAAAAAGTAGATTAGTAAAAAATGCAAAATAATTGTGAATTTAGGAGCTCCACTGATTCGGAGTTGGGACAAATGTGCAATGCTCTTTCGAGTTCCAATTTTACATCCACTAATTGGTTAGGCCCATTGTTTCCCAATAATGTTTCTTTCTTCGTTTTAAACTGTTTGTCTAAATTTAATTTGATACAACGTTTATTAAAAAAGGACTTTAAAATCTTATATTTTAAATTAGAAATATGTAGAATATTTTAAAAAGTACTTGAGTTTTATAATTTTAAATATATCAGGCAGAAGTTAAAATAAAAGAACTATCTAAAAAATAAAAAAGATGTACGTTTTTTTGAAACGAACTAAAAAAGAACTTAGTAATATTTATTGAATTGATAAATACACGTGTTTTATTCAGGTGCCAAATGGGATAGGCTTCATATTGGGCGCGGCCCAATTAATCCTGTACTTTATGTACTACAAGTCAAGCCCAACAAAATCCACAGAAGAAAAAGGCTCGGCCCATCTTATGAAAAGAGAAATTCAAATGAAAGATGTTAATGGAGCCCATGAAAATGAGAACAGTAGAAATCTTCACAAATGGAAAAGCCTGCCCAAGCCATCCTTAGTTCGTCAATATAGTGAAAAACTAGTAAAGACTCTCTCAAATACCCCATCTTCTTTGGGCTCACACAATGTACATGATATTGAAAAAGGCCTCAAAGAAGCCCACTAAATTTCTAATTTTATTCACGAAATTGGCCCAACTATTTTTTTCTTATTGGGCCGAAGCTCTAAATCTGAGCTCGCTATTTTTCTTCTTTTCTTTTGGTGTGTTTTTATTAAGGAGATTAATATAAATAATAAAGTTTAATGTCTAGTTCCATGACGATAATTTATAACTTTTTTGAAAATAAGAGGTCTTATTTCAATGTGTACAGTTGGTAAAATTGTTACTTTTTGAATAATTTTATTTTCTCATATGAAACAGCAAAGATAACGCGTAGTGCTTAATTTTCTAATAATGTTAGAATTGAATACTAATTACGTAAAATACAAGAGTTTGTGACCAGGAAGGAGTCAGAGAAATTCAAAAGGGTTTGATGTATATATATTAGTTGTCCATTTCCATCAAGTGGATAATTGATTAGCATTAAGAAACATTTTCCCAACTAATTAACAATTATTGTAATTAGAGTGTTTATATCTATTAAAATAAACTAAATTCTAGTTAAAAAGATCTGTGTTGATCCCATAAATCTTCACAAGGAATGTCAAACATACCTCCTCCGCTTCATATTACTTGTTCATTTTTTCTTTTATATATTTAAAAGAAAATCATAAATATGAAAATATATTTAATAATTTATTTATCAACTTTTTAAAAATATATTTTGTTTATGTACCTTATTCATCAACACGAAGAATAATAATAGAGAAATTTTCTTAGAACTTTACAACTATTTTACTTTCAGGAGAATTACTTTATACAAGGATAACATAAAAATAAATAAATTGATTCTATATTACTTTTCTAAGTTAACAAGTAATTTGAACATACATTTTAATAACGCGAATATGAGTATATTTTGTGTTGAAATCAGGGAAATAAGTGTAGTGCGCACCCCGTACTAATTTAAACAACTTTAATATGTGAACATTGAAAGAACTTAAAAAATTGCAATTAGAATGAGGAAAAGCATAGACTAGGAAGTTGTACAAACATTGTAATATAAAATAAGTCACATGAATAACGTCTATAAAAAAAGTGATAAGAAAAAACATCCAAGCCCTAGTAAGGTATGAAATTTGAAAGAATTAAAAATAATATATGTTACTATCCAATAATAAACAATTATACATGCCAAACACACTCAAGAAAATGTCAACTTCTGAAATTAATTTTTTTATTTTAAGATATAAATCATGGGAAACAAGTTTCTGTCAATAGTTTGTAAACTGTCTATAGCATGGTTGTATATAACTTTTTGCAATGCAACAAAAAAACTTTTATTGTGACGAGACAAAACACAACCAATAATATTTCATAAAATTGCAAGAATTTCCTTTAAAATGAATTTTTTTTCGTTTTTTGCCTTAGTACCTGAATTTATGCCAAGTAAAATATAAGTTCTTTGAAAATTAAAGTTAGACAAATTAAAAAAATTATAATTTGAAAATATATTTATCTTCGTTACACTTTTAATTACGTAAAAACATAAAAGGGCGCAAATGACAATGACAAAGATAATTTTATACTAAGTGCAACTTTGTGATTTAACTAATCATCTCTTATTCTGATTTCTGTGTGATACATGATTCCATATATAAGAAAACATAGTCAATGATAAATCAATTCTAATTAAAGGGCAAATCCTTTTCCTTCAAAAATCATTAAAGATCGCATCTATCTCATGGCCAAAGTAAAATACAATGATGTTGATGATGATAGCATTGTGTTCACTTTTACTTGTTTAATATTTTAAAAAATATTTTTTTATTTTTTACTAATTGATTTTAACGTATGCAAAGAGATTAAAAAAACATTTTCTTTATGTTTGACCTTTAGCATCAGTTTTTTATTTTCCAAATTATTCCCAAGCCTAATAGTATTAAACATCTGTTAATAGAGTGAATGGACATGAAGAGTACTTCATACATTTGAATAATTTAGTTAATTAACCTTTTTTGCTTTTACAAAGTTTCAGTTTCAAATCTCAACAAAGGCAAGATAATTTCCTTTTTATAATAGACGGATTTCTCCAAAATCTCTGCTCATTACTATATTAAATATGATTTTTGATGGTTAGATATAAATTTTTAGCGACAATCAACACTTTGGTAAATGTTCACAAAGTCTATAATTAATGATATTGGATACAATTACAATTAACTAATATAAATAATGTTTTAATAATCTTTATTAATATATTTATTTATTACCACTAAATACTGTTTTTATTGTAGCGACTATGAAAGATAACATGTATATAGTCTCTCTGTCAATTTAATTTGATTACATTAATTCGATATTTTAAACAAGAAAAGGATTAGATATTCGAAGACTATATGTAAAGTAACAAACAATTTTTTGCATATAATGAAAAATTCATCATAAAATATTTTAGTCAAAATTTTATAGTTTGAATCTAAAAAATACACTGACCATCGAAGGTGGAACTTTATTTTTTGTTGTAAAGCATGTATAATGATATACAACTTATATATAAAACAAACAACCTTTCTCATTGTTATTAAATAATTAGAAAATCCCTTAATTCTATTGATTAAACAACCAAGAAAATATATCGACTTCCCATTGTGCATAATCTAAGTCATTAGCCTGTTTATATAAAGCCAGAAAAGAAAATACAATAATTCTCATTCTCTCTCTATCTCTCTTACACACACATATTTCTCCTGCTAATCCTCAAGTGTCAAGATGGAAACTCTTCCTTTCATCATTGGAATCATAGGTTATACATCTCAAGTATATGATATATCACTGATTTGATATTTACTTGTTAATGCTGAAAAGGGTTCTTTTTCTCCAATTTCAGGCAACATCATTTCAGTTCTCATGTTTCTTGCACCGGTGTAAGTAATTAATTAAGTAGGGATCGTTTGGTTGGGAACAAGTTATTTTAGGATTTATTATCGTAGATATAGCTATCTTGGTATAAGTTATCCTATCACAACGGTATAAATAGTGTGACAAGTTATCTCTAACTTGACAACCAAAACAAGACTTCAAAATTTTATCCCTGAATTATATTTTCCATCTCTTAAGGCGATTCATTTTTATCCTTCGCACTAAATAAATTTTAGGTACATGTTAAGATAGAAACAAAAGTTGTAATATTAGTTATAAAATTGTTAAATAGTTATTTTTAATTTGCAGAGGGACATTCAGAAGAATAGTACAGAATAAATCAACAGAGGATTTTGATAGCCTTCCCTACATTTGTACATTGCTTAATTCATCTTTATGGACTTATTATGGAATTATTAAGCCAGGAAGCTACCTTGTATCTACTGTCAATGGCTTTGGAGTCATTGTTGAGACTATCTACATTGCTTTGTTCCTCAAATTTGCTGATCAAAAAATGAGAGTGAGTAATAATTTAATTAATCACATAGTATAGTGCACTTGAGAAACTGAAGTATTGCATCATGGGTTCGAATTTTTTAGCCTTTCTTGAGTTAAGGCATTCTAAATTTGTAAATATACTTTTGAGTCCATTTTGGAAAAATTGACATGTTTTTTTTTTTGGTACAAAAACAAATGTGACTATTTGGATTTTGTTTTGGAAGAGCTTATTTTGTTAGTTAGGTTAAGCTTAATGATTTGAAACTATTTTTGAGGCTTTTATGAAAGTTGAATTATGTACTTCTTTTATTAAAATCGACACTACACATGCATATGCGATTGCTGGTATAATTATATTCTCTAAAGTTCAAATCAAAAATAAATATTTTTCATTTTATATTTGATATAGTTTTCTTTTTAATCGATTTAAATAAGTGTTTAACAATTTTTTACTTAAATTTTCGATATAACACGTTTAAGATTAGTAGATTAATAAACGTTTTATTACCTTTGATTTTCTTTTAAATTGGCTAAACCTATTGAAATGAGAAAAGGACTATAGAGAAGTTGTTTTCAAATTGTGGGGGTAATGAGGCACCTGAGTTCTGTCAATGTGTACATCTCATTTTTGTCCACACAAAAAGATGACCCACCCAGCGTACTTATTAATTATTATAGAGTAAAAATTAAGCACGAGGGGAAATGTTCCCAATAATATCTTCAAATACTTTTTAAATTATTTTTTGTCGTGAAAAAATTCACTAAAAAGTCGAAAATTCATAATTATAATTTACTCAAAAACTAATTTTTTGCTGTCCTTTTTTTTTTTACAGAAAAATACAGGCATCCTAGCTGGGATTCTGAATGTGGGGATTTTAGCAACAATTCTATTATTGGCGCAGTTCATTTTATATGGAGAGATGAGGATTAACGTTATTGGTTTTCTGGCCACATGTTTAAACATCATCATGTATAGTTCCCCTCTTGGTGTTATGGTAATTTCCAATTCTTTAATTAATTCCACAAAATAATTCTCCTAATTTTGTCAAACCGTCTAAATGAAATATATACATAAAATAATGAATCCAAATTTTAAATGTTAAGTGCTGAATGTATATCCTATTATCCTTGTACTTGATTCTTGCACATATATAAATATATGAAACATATGATATTCTCTAACAATTTTTTGATGTACTTTCATAATTGGTTAATTAGTTATTCAAATACCACCAAGTAGTGTGGTGATTGAGATATATCAACTTTGAGCTTTGAAAATGAAAAAATTCTACATAATAAGTGGTGCGCTAAATCTCTAGACTATCTAAATTTGGAATAATGAATTTATAAAGCATAAAAATGAAATTTAAAAAAAGCTAATTCAGTTTGATGTGGCCTACCTTTTAAAATTAAGTCACTCTTTAAATTTTTATTTATTTATTTTATTTTTTTGCAGAAAACAGTGGTGAGAAGTAAGAGTGTCGAGTATATGCCATTTCTTCTCTCATTTTTCTTTTTCTTAAATGGTGGCGTTTGGACATTGTACGCCGTGCTTGTGAGAGATTGG